GCCCGGTGCTGTGACCCTCTCTGCCGTCACATGTCCCCAGCAGGTCAGTGCCATACACAGTTGGACACAGCTCCGGCCAAGGATTTCCAGACCTTCAAACCCCAAGCTACATTTGGGTTTTTGGTGGTTTTTTTTTTGTTATTGTTTTGCTTCTTTTTTTTTTTTTTTTTTTGTTTTTTTGGTTTTTGGTTTTTTTTTTGGCTCAGAGGGCAGTGAAGCCCTGGCTCTGCTGCCCAGAGCTGTGGATTCCCCATCCCTGGAGGTGCCCAAGGCCATGGATGGAGTCCTGGGCAGCCTGAGCTGAGGGGAGCAGCCAGCCCATGGCATGGGCTGGGGGGCTTCAGGGTCTCTTCCAACCCAACCAGTCTGAAATTCTATTTTCCTCACCTGTCTGGGCAAGAGCACATCACCATGGCCTGGTTGCAGCTGGAACATCTCTTTCAGCAGTCTCAACACTGGTGTAGACTGTCCCTCTGAGATGATGCGGCTTTCCACCTGTGTGCACTGAGAATGCTGCACCTCACAGGAAGAGACAGACCTTTACCTTCCAGCCATCCTTCTTCTTCCTTGCTGTAAAACGGCAACAATTTCCATGAAGTGGTTTGCTTCAGCAGCAGTCACCTTGCCCTGGGAAGAGCTGCAATTTGGCAGCACTCAGCCCAGCTGGGTATAATTTGCCATCAGTAGCACATCAGCCTGTGGGCAGCGCAGCCTGACCCACTGAGCTCGAATGGCCAAAGGATGCTCTTGAGCACGCTTGAGCCAGGGGTGCATAGCATCACCCAGCCTGATAAACAGTGCTGCTTATCTGAGGGTCTGAATTAATTAAGCCCTGCACCTGGCATGGGATGTAATGCTGAATTACAGCTGTTGCTGCTCTTCCCTGGCACGGTGTAGAGGTGAGTGATTTGCTGCACCTGAGGCAGCTGATGGGAATGCTCAGATGTGGGACCTGAGCCCTGGCTGGAGATGGGCAATGAAGTACCTGGCCCTGGCTGCTTTAAGAGGCTTTTCACAAGCTCCCATCCTGCACAGGAGGAAAGCTCACCTTTTTATAAACATTCATAGAATCATTAAGGTTGGAAAAGACCTCTGAGACAACAAGGTTCAATTGTCAACCCACCCCCACCATGCCCACTGCCCACGTCCCTCAGTGCTACATCTCCATGGTTCTTGAACACCTCCATGAATGGTGACCCCACCACTCCCAGGGGAGCTGTGCCACTGCATCACCACTCCTTTGGAGAAGAAATTTATCCTAATATGTGTTGGGGACAGGACAAGGGAGTCCCAGGGTTTGCATGGCATCCGAAGGAACAGCTCCAACACATGACATGGGCCCGGATTCACCCCTGGGAAGCACTCCCTCCAGGAATAGGTGGGGTTTTCATTTTTCACAGTGTTAATGTTGTTAGAAAACTTTCCCGAATAGCTTTGCATGTTAACTCATGAAGAAAACAGCATATATTCAACAAGAGTCCGTCTGATTCAATAGAAATAGACCTTTATTAATAACATGCACGTTATATGTATATTTAAAATACCTATACATTTTTCTACTATTCACTTTAGAAAACGATTTCATAAAAACCTTTCAATCAGGTCCCGAGTAATTTTAAACATTAAAAAGCCATTTACCATCGTAGAATCAGTAGGCGTGATCCCAGTGAGTTGGTGTACAGTCACCTGTAACACAGCGCAGGCTCATGCATTCCAGCAGAAGCGAGCGTTCCCCTTTCTGCGGAGTTAAGCGCATCAAATATCAGATGAAATACATGACGGCACCTGCCGCAGTCATTATATGCAGTTGTGATTCCCTGCTGAGAGCACAATATGGCATTTGGAAGCTGGAGACGGCTTTTGTACAACGGTTGGAGCTCACGTGAAGGCAGGGCGGCTAGTGCAGAACCCGGGGATGGCAGAAACTGGAAAAAGAGAAATTCAGGGACCGACCGCAGGGAGGAAAGCAGTCTAGAAAAGAGGAGAAGAGGAAATTGCCAAAGTGTGAAGTGGGGCTGGTGCTTCCCAAGGCCCTGTGGACACAGAGCCGGAGCTGCATGGTGTGCATGGGGCTGTCGGCTAAAGGCGGGCTGCGGGTTTGCGTGTACAAAGGCTGTATGAAGATGGAACTTTAAGGCACCGTAGTCCATATACTCAACACATTCATCAAAAACAACAGTTCCATTTACAGTGCAATATCAATGTATTCCAGAAGCCAAGCGGCAGCTCTGCCATCACTTCTCTCTGGTAATTCAGCAATGGAGGAGCACATTAGGACAGGGCAGCCCCCACATTGCACATGCTGAGCACGGATGTGCACAGAGAGGCAATAACCAAGGTGTATGGTGGAGCAGAGCCCTACATTTTGGAGATGTCAGAATGCAAAGCTGATTCCATGCGGAGCCTCCTGTTGCTGCTCAGTGCCACCAGCTCAAGTCCAGCACTCATAGCCAAGCGAGAGAGTGACACAGAGGGAGCTAAACTCTTTTAAACACTAACTACAGTCACATGTGCTGTTTCAAAATGACCACACATTGTCCTAAGCCAGCCTTATTGGGAATGACCAGCTACCTGTGAGCAGGTCTGTCTGTGCCACCCACCATCGCCTCATGAATGCTATCTCCAAGGCAACAGAATCAAAGGGAAGGAAGGACCTTCCTTACATCCAGTGCAAACATAGCCCATGTGTGGGAGTTCCTACCGCAGTCATAATGGAACATCTATATATGTGTATATATATACTTATCGCCGAAATCTGACCACCTACACATTCACACATCAGAGCCAGAAGAGCTGAATTGCAGCTATGAGCCCTAAAACAGAACAATCACTGCATGAAGCTGTATTAAAGGGCTGGTGCCCAGGAGCTTGGAAAATAAGTGATAGAAGCGGTACGTCGTTCAAAAAGTGTCAAACATTTCTGGAGCAACTTGTGATGCTACTGCACCTCTGTACTGCTTTATCACTGCAGGTTATGGCTATCAAGCGCTAAGGTTGAATGGTTGAATGTTGATCCACTTTTCACTGGCAAAAATCACTGTGTGAAGCATAAGGCAGCAAAAACTTGAGCAGATGCAATGTTTAGAGTTGAGGACCTGTAACTCAATTTCAAATCAAAGCCAACATTCTAGAAGGAAGGAGTTGTAACATCTCCTGGAGCAAGTAGAAATGTAAGAAATAATAAAATCAGACAACATTTTTTTGTTCAAGAGGAGAAAACGTGAGTAAAGTGTTACCTTCTTTCACAGGTACCCAAGTGGTTTTGTTGTCTGATCCCAGTTCTTGCCTGTGCTACCTCCTGAGCACGCAGTGCTCTGTCAGAGGAGCTCACAGTAGGCAGGAACATGCCTGCCCTGTTCAGCAGAGGAGGGCATTTGTCATTTGTGAGATGGTGGGATAATGCTAAGGTAAGGTTAAAGGTTAAAGGCCTTAATCCCACCGAGCATTCGTGCCAATGCAGCAATTTTTATTTGATGTAGGAAATTTCATTTTTCAGGCCAGGACTATCCTCTGAGTGTAACAGAGCAGATCAGAGGGGGAAAGCACCCTAGCATTCAGTGTAGCCCCTGCACTGCTGTGAGTTCAGGCAAAAACAGACAAAAAGAGCAAAACAAGTGCATAAACCAGGTCAGTTTATAGCAGAAGAATCACACTGACTGAACAACCACACGGCACACTGTGCCCCCAGTGCCCTCCTGGGCACAGGCTCTACTTCTGCCTCTGCCCGCAGTGCCCCATTCCCAGCCTTCCCACAGTACCTGTGCTGCTCATGCTCCCTACTTTGCAGGTTATCCTTCTCTTCAAATAAACTGTTGTTTTGCACTAATAAGCTGCACCTTGCTGCTGCTTTCTGTCCCCTAAAGCTGTACTGCTGGGGCAGGAGTTCATGTTGCTCCTTGCACCTCCTACTCCTCTCCTTTGTCCTGTGCTGTGAACACGTGCCCAGCAGCTGCAGTGTCACAGCTGAGACGCTGTGAGGTTCCTCCTCTAGCCCTGCACTGAGCACAGCCTGGTCAAGCAGTGGTATTTTTTGTACTTCAGAAATAGCATCAGCCACATCTGCATGAGAAAAGACTTCCAAAACTAAAAACAAATTCTGTTCTTCAACATGAACCTGCCTCCAGCTGAGAGTGCTCTTCTATTTGCTCTGCTCTAAAGATGCAGGGCTGGCAGCCTGCCAGGCAAGGCCAGACTCCCCCACAATAATTCTGCAGCTCTGTAGGACAGGTTTGGACCATTGGTGTATTAGGTCAGCAGTCCTAGGAATCAGTCACTGATGCATCACAGCTCGTTCATCACATTTCCCCAGGTTATAGTGCAATCATCGCTTTTGCTGGAGCATCATCTCTTCCCTTATATTACTCTTTGGTATTTTCATGGTACAGCTTTGGCAGCTATAAAACCTCCCACTTGTAATCACCAGTTCTGCTGAACAGCTCTCATGTCAATCCGCAGCTCATAAGATACATATTTACATAACCTAAGGTTAACTCCCAGGTCAAAATCAGACATTTTGGTTAGATGGGGCCCTGGGCAATCTGATCTAGTATTTAGCCTAGCAGCTGGCAGTGCTGCCCAAGACGGGGGTTGAAACATAACCATCCTTGAGGTCCCTTCCAACCCAAGCCATTCTGTGGCTCTATGATTTCACTTCATCTGAAACACCATTACCATTGCTGAGCAGCTTCATCAGAGTACCTCTGAACTTCTTCTAGCATCTGTCACATACACTCATTCTCTATCCAGAGAAGTTACCACTGCTTTTCTGTCTTTCCATGTCAAAATCAATGTTTACGTATCATTTCCTAGCACCAGTGTGAACCCCTTGCTAAACAGCAAGTCAGCATGCAGGAAGGTATGGGGGAAACAGCCCGAATGAAGCTAAGGGAACACGGCAACGGGACAAAGAAACAATCTGTCCTGTGAGCTGTTCTGCTCTGTACTAGAATAGCAAAGTAAATACCAGCTAAGAGATAATGTAATTAAAAAGGTGAATGCAATTATTCTAAAAATAATAGTAATAACCTTGCAAATCTCATAGTAGTTTAAGTAGCAAGCGAGTTAGTCTCTGAGCATCCTAAGCAAAGGCCATTCCTTCGGCACTGACCCCTTCATGTACAAAGCATTTCCTCAGAGAAACTTCTTATCTGTCCCTTCGCAGTCAATAACTGGCACCTGGCTCCTCACTGCCGGCCTGCTCCGCTACCTGGGGCTCCCCTTCTGCTAAGGGTGGCACAACTGAACGACAAAGTGATTCCCAGCATCTGTATCTACACACAGAGAACTGCAACGTGGCTTTGCTTCCACACAACACATTGCATGTGTGTGAGGCCTCAGCATCACACCTGCCCTGTGTGTGCACAGTGCTTCGTGGCCAATTGGTTAACATGGGGCTGCGGAGCGGTGCCCGAAGCACCCAACTCACCCCAAGCTGCTGAGTCCAAGCTCCGCTCCCACCTCACCACGGGCATCTCTGCAATCAGTGCCTCATCCTAACGCCTCAGCAAGCAGTTCAAGCATTCAGAAACAAACATCGGTGGGTCTAACAGCTACTTTAATTCATTTTATAAATAAGCAATTGAGAATTTTGCTCCAGGTGGCTGCTTGTGTAGCCCATCCCATAAACGGCGTTCTCTGCAGAATAAGGCACAATGCGATACGAATGCAGCTCTTCATAATAGAGTGACTGAGAACAGCACTCGTGTACCATAAACTTCAGCCGTTTTCGTGAGTCAGAGTAAGCAGTCCTATAGCACGGAGCCTCCTTAAAGTATTCATAGCTCTCCCTCTCTGTCTCTAGGTGAATCTTCCTCAACAGATTGTTAATTAACACCGACCTACGGAGATAGGCTTCGGGATCTTCCAGGAATCGGAGTTTCTGGAGAGAAAGTTTTAGAATACAAGTCCGGTCCTCAGGGAGTATCAGGTGCTGGGGAGCAAAGAGCATCACACGGGTCTTTAGTAGGGAGGGATGTAACCGAGGGAGGATGGGAGCTGGAAGGAGAAAGCTACTCACTTTTGGACAGTACTCATGGTAATCTTGATGTAGATGTTCTTCTTCTGCATATTTTCTCTTAAAGTAGGCTACTTTCGACGTCGTTAATGGATTTGGTAGGCCCCAGTCAGATCAGCTCTGTGCAAGATTAAGAGAGGGTTTAGGTTAGATTTAGGTTAGATGTTAGGCGGAAACTCTTTACTGTGTGTGCTCCATCCCTGCAGGTGCCCGAGGCCGCAGAGGGGCCCTGGGCAGGCTGAGCTGGTGCTAGTGCTCACTAGTGCTGCTGCCATCAGTACCCCGGCTGGTGACAGCCCTCCGGACCAAGGTAGGCGGTAACCCGAGCCCAGCTCCGGGTGCTGCCGGCCAGCTTTGCAGCGAGCTCTCGCTAGGTGGTAGTGTGGTCCCATGGCAGCCCGGCTCGGTGTGCTGCTGCTGCTCCCTGGGCAGCTCTGAGCGCTCGCAGCCTGCTTGGTGCTCAGCCCTTCAGCGAAGGGAAGGGAGCGCAGAGCCCTGGGGGTCCCGCAGGCTGCTCCCAGCTGCTCCTCTCTAGCAGAGGAGTCACAGTGCTACATGACTGCAGTGGGACCGTAACTTTCCTTCTGGTGAGCACCAGACAGAACGCAGGCTGGGTTTTGGTTTCTTTAGACAGGAGGCGCATGTGTTTGGGCTTGACATCATCGTGGACAAAACTCTCTCTGTTAAAAGCAGTTTCTGTGGTTTGCTTTCAAACGTGCTATTTTTCTGAAGGTTATTAATGGTCAATTTTAAAGTCCACAGAAAGTCACCGCCTGGAGCCTCTCACAGTCAGGTCTCGGAGCTCAAGCTTCCTTCTCCAAACTGAGATGCCTTTACAGAGGTGTGTAAAACTTTGGCTATTGGGGCAATAAAGGTCTTGGTTCTGGAGTGCAGAATCTCTCCTATGGTAACAGAACCAAATACACCACACATATAAGAGAGAGCTCATGGTGCTGGATGGATCCCACCACGCTCTCTGAGCTGCAGGTGGGAGTGAAAGGACATTGACACTGATCCTGCCCCTGCTAGAGGCATCTCTCCTTCCCTGGTAGGAGAAAGTGATGTGCTCTGCCCTCCTCTTTCCATGCCAAAACCCACAAGAGATGCCCAAACAGGACAAATCCTCACAGAAGACTCTTCCTGTGTTTTCTTGCTGAACTTCAGGTTAGTGAGAATGGAGGTTTGCCATAAAGGACACTACAAACCTGGGCAGAAATCCCTTGGCTGGTGGATTAATGGCCTGTCTGGAGCCAAGTGTCCCAGCCCTGCTTTGGGACCCAGCACTGCTCTCACAAAAGAGGACTCAGAAAGGGACTGCCCCACCTTGCAATAGGACAATGCCATGTTTCTGTCAACCTGGATGGACCACTGCACACAGCTCTTGGGAGCAGGGCACAGCTATGGCCTTCACAGCACTGCCAGTCCCGGGCAGCTGCAAAATGTGGTCCAAATGCACAGCCTTCACTGCTGGCAGGTTTTATCCTACATTTGAATTACACTGGAGACAGGGCACCCTGGGCATTTAACTACTTTAACTTTAATTACTTTAACTACACTGCTTCTCCTAGGTTCAAACCTCCCTGCTGTGTTATCTGAACACAGGTAGAAAAGCATTTATGCTCCCAAAGCTGTAGGATAAGAGAACATCACAAGGACTCGGGGGAGACTTTATAGCTCTCTATAATGACCTGAAAGGAGGTTGTGGTGAGGTGGGGGTCGGCCTCTTCTGCGTAACTAGCAATAGGGTGAGAACCAGCCTCAAGTTGTACTGGTGTGGGGGAGTTCAGGTTGGATATTAGGAAAAATTTCTTCTTGGAAAGAATGGCCAATCACTAGAACAGGCTGTCTAAGGAGATGGTAGAGTCACTGTCCCTGGAGGTGTTCAAGAAATGTGCAGATGTGGTTTCAGCTAAGGGACATGGCTTAGGGGGAAAATACTGGTGCTAGGTGAATGGCTGGACTGGGTGATGTTGGAGGTCTTTTCCAACCTTAATGATGATTACAGTTTTCCTCAGCCTTTCTCTGAAGTGGACAGAGGTATGAAAGAAGAAGTGATGTTCCCATGGTGCCATCGGGGATGGGAATAAAGCCAAACCCAGAGTGCAGGGTGAGCTGACCAGGGGTTTGTTGTTCTCCTTCAAAACAAGCTTCTAAGTTATAAAACTCACTCTGGTGATTTCCACTGAAAAGGCTGGAAGCACAGCCTGTGTACTCTGCATGCAGAACATGAGCAGAGGCAGGACAGAAACCCAGGGCATGCAGAGCATCACCACTCAACCCTCCATCTCTTCCATCTCCCTTGAGATGGAGGATGACAACTGGGACACCATTGGCCCTAAGGACAAACAGTCCTGAAGAAGGACCAGCAAACTGCTTGGAATAGCCATGCCAGATGGACAGGAGGAGGCTGTGTCCAAGAGCCATGGAGATGTGGCAGAGGGACACGGTCAGTGAGCATAGCGCAGATGGATTGGGGTTGGACTTGGGGATCTTAAACGTCTTTTTCCAGCTTCAGTTTTTCTGTGATTCCATGAAGCTTCCTGCAGCTGGCCCCATCCCTGTTCCCAACACTGGGCTGTAAGGCTGATTTTAAAAGGACACATTCCCACCTGCAAGCACAAAGCTCCTCAAAGACCAAGAGCAGAGCAGACGCAAGCTGCTCGGTGCTGGCTGTCAGCAAAGCCCAGCGGTTCCAGCCCTGCAGGACTCCTGAAAGTCAGTGCGGACTGCCTGGCCGGGCTGCAGGCACGCACAGCGGTAGTAATGCGGCAGTGAATCAGACCCTTCGTGTTTTGTTTAAATATAAACATATTGAATCAGTGCTTTTTTGTGAGGAAGGCTATTCTCGCCAGCCAAGTGTTTTGACAGCTACAGCAAGGTGGTATGAGTCACTGCCTCCGCCTCAGCCAGCCTTGGAGACAGATACATCTTAATCACATTACATTTTTTCAGTGCCGCACCACAATCCCAGGCACGGGGCCAACCATCCCCCCAGGGATGGAGCGGTGGATCCTGAGTGCGAAGTTTGCCCTCCCTGCCCAGCCGAGCCCGGCTGCTCGGAATGCACACAGCACCGCAGCGGCTCCCGCTGCCATTAGCACTAATGGAAGTTGGGAGCATAAATCCCATGCGTGGCACTGAGGGGATGGAGGCTGCTGCCTCCCAGGTCTCCCCAGAGCAGCTTCATGAGCTCTTTAACTGTACTTTCAAATATGTGCCTGTTCTTACTCCTTGCCCTGGGAATAATTACAGTGCTGCGTGGACCCACAGGGTTATTAGGCATGTTTGGGCAGAGGGTCTTATCTAAATTGAAATGGAAATTGATTTATAGCATGGCAACTTCATGATTGAGCTGCAAATGGCACAAGATAGTCTTCACCTGCCTTACGGTCCCCCATCACACAGAGATAGAGCCTCTATGCAGCATGAATTAGTGCTGCTGGTCCCAGGAGGGCCATGGGTCATCTCAGAGAGGGGGTTTAGCAAATGACCAAGCAGCTGAAAGCAAAGATTGTGCTTTTCCACTTCAGGCAGATGGAAAAGGGACTGCCAGCCCTGGGTCTGCAGGTTGTACAGAGAGCTGCTCTGGCTGCCTCTGTTTTTCCCACCTTTCCTGAGGAAGAAGACCTGTCCCTGCAGTGTGCTGCTGCAGTGCTGGGGCTGGAGCAGCTGCTGCTCTCAGTGCATCACTGCAGACGGCTGCAGGGGAAATTCAGGGGCTCACTGGGTGAGCCGGAGCCAACAGCACCACGCAGCTGAAATGAGCCGGTGCCGCACAGGTCTTCCTCTCACAGCACAAGGGGATGGAAGTGCAGGAGAGCCGGCTGAGATGGAGAGCATCTCTGAGCATCTCCTGCATGCACAAATAGAAAATCCAGTGCTTCTGAGCATGCAGAGATGGGTATTTATTATCAGCAGGAGATGTGACTTTGACATGGCTGGAGATACTGCCTTGTCCTTGCGGCTGCCGTCAAGCTGCAGTGATGAATTCCCCTGCGATGAACCTGTGATGAACCTCAGCCACACTGCAATTACAAAGTGCTCAGCTGAAACCCTGCTCTGATTTCATGTTACACTGCCGTGTTTCTCAGGACAAGCAGCCTCAGGTCCCGCCAAGGCTTTCTCAGCTCCAAAACACAGGCAGAGAAAATGTGAATGGGGAACACTGCCAGATCATGGGTTTCACATGGAATGACAATTGCAGAGCATAGGGATGGATCTCCCACTCCCCACCCGGGCACAGAAATTCCCCTTGTTTGATCACCTGAGGGAAGGTAGCAGCCTTCCTACTTGCTGGAGCTGTGGCTTTGCACTTTAAAACTGCTTTCTTTTTGGACTTCTAATTGCTTTACAGATCTCCCTAGTTCACCAGGCACAGGCATCAGGATAGCTCTCATGAATGCATAAAAACAGAGACAGTGATGGGTGATTGCTCCGCTCCCGTTCCCTGCAGCCCCCCTGCCTCCATCCCTCTGACCAAGAAAACGGGTATAGCTCAGCCAGATGCAGCAAAAAAATAGAATGACACCTTAATTCCTTCTGAGTCCCCCTTTAGCAGTCGTTTCCCTTGCTCCAAAGCCCAGTCAGCAGTAGTTGGCAAACGTGACAATTACCTGAGGATGTGGAGTCAGTCTGCAAAGGGTCTCTCTGGGATGACGCCAGCAGTCCTGGTGAGATCTCCTCGCACGGGCTCAGCAAGCATTGCTGGCAGCACAGCCCCACAGAACGTCACCTGTGGGGGGACCAAGGGGGGACATGGCTCAGGTGGCAGCAGCAGGACGAGCACGAGAAGAGAAAACAGGAAAAACAGAGTCCTGGTGTCACATCCAAATCATAGAATTGTTAAGGTTGGAGAGACCACTAAGACTGTCTATTCCAAACTCCCAGACTTCACCCTCGCTTCCTGGACAGCATTTCAGACATAAACCAGAACATGAGGAAAAACCATGTCAGCCTCTCAGTGGTACGGCTGTAATGCTCCCAGAGCAAATGCTGCACACACAGCTCCTCGGAATACCCGGAAGTTTGCTGAGCCAAAACACGACTGCAGCCTGAGCACAACCTTGTGAAACAGTGTGCTGTTTTCCCCATCAGCTCCTGTCAGCCTCACAGGAAAGCTGAAGGAATACAACTGAAACCACAGCATCATTTGGAGCGGCAACATCCATTTCCCATCACACAGCCCTCCTCCCGGCCCCTCACTGCCTGCAGAGTAACACAGCCCTGGGGAAAGTCAGATTACGGGTTCTGTGTCCCAGGATTACTGCACTGTGCATGTTTCTATGTTCGCCTTCTCAAGGGTCCCCATGGCACCGTGCAGAGAAACATCAACAGATCCATGCGTGCAGACCCACCTCTGCACTTCTGTGTGCAGAGATGCTTATACTGCCTAAGTCCACATGTGAAGAAAAAGCAGATCTAAACACTGTGAAAGATAGAGGAAAATAGAGCTTGTGTGCGTGCGTGCACGTCTCGCAGCTAGAACACGTCTATGCTTAGGTGGCTGTCTCATCCCTGAGGATGGCACTTAGCAAACAGGCAACAAAAAGTAGCTCTGCTTACTTTGCAGAGTTTGCCCATAGGAAGACAGCAGAGAGAGCAGCACCTCGGTGCACAACCCATAGCCCTGCAGGACCAACGCTGTGCCCTGCTCGGCTCCATGCCCTCTTCCACAGCTCTGCAAACCCGGCAGCTCGCACATACAAAACTCCCTGCATGCCAGCAGCCGCCCGCAGCCCAGCAAATGCCACGCTGTCCTCAAGCACCCTCAGCCCTGCGGCACTCACCCCGCGATCCCCAGCTGTGGAGGGAGAGCTGCTCCCGTCCTTCTTCCTTCCCCGGCCGCTCCGAGCTGCTGGCTGCCGCTGGAAGTGGTGGCACTGGTGGCAGCTCCTGCGGGTCCCTGCAGCCACTGAGGAGCGCATCACCGCCCGGCTGCAGCCCGCGGAGGTGGGCGCCCAGATGTGCCCTGCACGGATTGGTCCAGCGGGAGCAGATGTTGCCCGGTTGCTAGGAGCGTTGCTAGGCGCCTTGCTAGGAGACGGTGACGCTCTCCCCATCACTGGCGCGACTCGAGGCTTGCAGGGAGGGAGGGGAGGTCCTGGAGAGCCCACCACCTCCATGGTGGGATGGGAAAGGCTGGAAGGAACGGGACAGGACAAGATAGGATGGGATGGGATGGACAGGGCGGGATGGGATGGGAGAACAGGGCGGAGAGGATGGGACAGGACCAGATAGGATGGGATGGGACAAGATGGAGTGGAATGGGATGGAATGGGTTGGCGTGGGATGAGGTGGGGTGGAACGGGATGGAATGGGTTGGGATGGGGTGGAATAGGATGGGATTGGACACGATGGGACGGGAAAGATGAGGCACATGCACTGTGGCTTGCTGCACTGCAGTGTGCCACAGCTCAGAGCTGGAAAGGGGATGAGTTGCTGCCAGAGGCATTATAGCAGGGCGAAGGATGTGTAAGTGAAATGCAGGAGCTAGGAGGGGGCAGCTCTGCTTCATGCCTTGCAGGTGGAGAGGACGGGTTATGTCCCATATGGGCAAGTTGAAGGGGGTATGGAGAGGAGCAGCAGCTGCAGGGGAAAGGATGCCAGGTAGCTGCCCCAGCCCGGAGAGATCGAGACTGGGATAAACCAGAAGGGAGGGAGTGGTGGCTCTGACTGAGGACTGCTGGTAATGCATACTCACAGTCTGCTCTCCCTCCGGGTCACATCCATCTGCCCTCTCACCCCATGCCCACATCCCCCTCTGGGGCACAAACTGACCATTCCCTGAGCATTTTTCACGCCCCATCAGAGTGCCCTAGCAGGGGCACATATAGCCGTGGCCCCAAAGAAGCACCGAAGCACTCTGAAATCCCATGGGCAGAAATAGGAATTACTTCCTGAAGAGACACCACATGGAAAAACAGCCCAAACAGAAGCTCAATGAGGCATGGAGCAACTCAGGCATTTGTGCTTAGATAGGGCATCAAACTCATGTTACCCTCATTACCAAGGGTCCAGCCAGCAAGGCTCAGGAAAAGTTTTAAAAGAGTAAGTAAAATCTTACATGCACAGGGCAGTCTGTGCATGGAAGGGCAATTCCTTTTCCAAAGAGCCCAACTCTATATGCAGATAATGGCAAAAAGATTACTATATACATATATACATACATATACACGCATATATGTATATATTTGTAATAGATGTATACAAATGTATAGTTTCTTCCTTTGCTCCCAAGAGCTCATGCCACAGCAGCCCTGTCTGGGTGGCAGTTCCCTCCATCTCCTGCTCCATCTCTACTATGGAAGGTTTGCCAGTACCAAATAAAGGCAAGATGTTACGGAAACACATCCATTCTGGCCACAATATTCAGCACTCGTGAGGCCGCACCTCGAGTACTGTGTCCAGTTTTGGGCCCCTCACTGCAAGAAAGATATTGAGGCCCTGGAACGTGTTCAAAGGAGGGCAACAAAGCTGGTGAGGGGTCTGGAACACAGGCCATATGAGGAGAGGCTGAAGGAGCTGGGAATGTTCAGCCTGGAGAAGAGGAGGCTCAGGGGAGACCTTATTGCTCTCTATAACTTCCTGAAGGGAGGTTGTAGTGAGCTGGGGGTCGGCCTCTTCTCTCGTGTCATTAGTGATAGGACCAGGGGGAATGGTTTCAAGCTACGGCAGGGGAGATTCAGACTGGACATGAGGAAGTATTACTTTTCAGAAAGGGTGGTCAGGCACTGGAATGGATGCCCAGGGAGGTGGTGGAGTCACCGACCCTGGGGGTGTTCAAGGAAAGACTGGATGTTGTGTTGAGGGACATGGTTTAGTAGGAGCTATTGGGAATAGGTGAACGGTTGGACTGGGTGATCTTTTAGGTCTTTTCCAACCTTGGTGATTCTATGATTCTATGATTCTACAAGCTGAAGATCCTGGACAACTTCCTGTCTCCAGTGATCTGGAAGATAGGGCACATGGTGCCTGGGGGTGTTACTGCTGGTGGGATACATGCAGATCCCCTCCTTCTTGTTGCTCCAAGGTCTGCAGGAAGGTCCCTGTAGAGCAGAATGTACCAGGCTTGGTCCTCCTCCCTCTTACATGGTGGAAACTCTTCATTTGGCACTCACCTGATCAATACCTCATCCAAATTTTACAGCACTGGCTCTCAGTAGGCCGAAGTCCCAGTTTTCAAACATCAACACAGCAGCCTCAGATCAGCTACTCCTTGTCACAGAATCACAGAACGACAAAGGTAGATAAAACCTCTGAGATTACCAAGCCCAACGCCAGCCCACCCCCCCACACGCTCACTGCCCACATCCCTCAGTGCCTCATCTCCATGGTTCTTTAATGCCTCCAGGTACAGTGATCCCACCACTCCCCTGGCAGCTGTGCCACTGCATCACCACTCTTTCTGAGGATTTTTTCCTATCATCCAACCAGAGTATCTGTCTGTATTGGGCATGAACCACCATGCATGTGCCTGCACACGTGCAGCTGAAGAAAAGACCCAGCCATGTACCTATTTCAAAGTGCCTCAGAAGTTCCACTTCTTTTATTGAAAAGTCAAATGAACTCAAACTAATCTCAGATTGGAATTTTCTAGGACAATAGGAAGGCACTGGAATTTAATTGATTTTGATTACCTGCACTATTATTATGCTGCCAGTAGCGATAGTTCAGGTTGGTGTAACTTTAAATTTACCGTGAGATGAATTTGACATTTTCCTGCTGTTGAACAGAGGACTTGAGCAATGCTTCAGCTCTTCACAAAGATGTCATAATTAATACAGTAATCTCTCTTCTGGATAGAAAAGGAAGACACAGTGGCACGTACTCTGCATCTAGGAGCTGAATGAACGACGGATGCACTGCTCCAGTGTTCCTGAGATTTATTGTATTTTTTTTTAAACATTCAACACAATTTCTGCTGCAAAGACACCTCTTCCCCTCTCCTGTCAGCACACAAGTGGGAATTATTAGCTGGCAACAACTTACAGCCAAAAGGTCATCTAATCTTCCCCCAGCTGGCTATAGGAAACATTTCCATCCCCTGAGAAGCCTGGAGCAAATTCTTCCAAAATCCAAGGCTTGCTGCTTTCTTCAAAGCAGTTTGAGCCTATCTATCTCACTCCTTTCCCACCAGGTGTGCATACAGCTCCCAGCTAAAGACAGGGTTTGTATGAAGCTGGGCTATCCAAATGCATGGGATAAGTGTTCCAGCTTGGGAGCTCCAGCACGGGACCCCATTTCGAGCCACAGGAGCTGCAGCAGGAGAAGCAGACCTGAGCAGTCACAATGATGTGCTGGGAAGCATGCAGTGCAGCTAGCAGGCTCACTGCTCTGACACAGGGGCATCAACTCCCTGCATGTCAGCGTGTGCAGACCTAAATCCTGCTTTCCACTGCAGTAAGTGATCTGAACACTTGATCATGCAAACTGAAGGAAGATGTGCAGCAGATGCTCCATCCCACCCCCACCTCATCCCACCCCACTCCATCACATTGCATCCCACTGCATTACATTGCATTGCATTGCATTGCATCCCATCCCATCCCATCCCATCTATTGTCATGGAGACATGAGCCATGCCCTCCCCTCCCATGGGAAGAGTTTTCCCATCTGCTAGGAATGCCTGACTGGGAGCTGCTGCCCAGCTGAAGCACATGTTGTTTTCGTGCAATGGAAATTAAACAGAACAGTGAACTGGGACCAAAGTCTCTATTGACAGTGATATTATTTGAAAAGATAAGACTTTAAATGCCTACTGCACAAGATAAAACCTGGACAGGCAGACAATAGAAGAGTAGGGTGTTGGGTTTTGTTTTGTTTTTCTTCTTTTAAGAATTTGGAAAGCAGGATTGCCTAGCATAGTTAGTGCTATAATAATAAACACGTATTTTAAAATGGTTGTGAGCAACTGGGAACATGAAAAAAAACCCACTTACAGAACAATGCCACTTACTTTAACTGCCAAGTAGAATGAGAAAAAAATCAGTTCCTTCATCTCACGACAGTTACATTTCTTCAAGCCAATCAAATTAAATTAATGTGCCCTTCTGAATCAAAGCACCAAACATTCAAAAGATGTGTGCATAGGAGCTCCCAGGCAGCACTGACCTCCACAAGTGCCATACTTTTCACCACAGCCAAAGGGACCCACTGACATAATGACTTCCAGGTGGGCAGAAGGCACAGTAAGGATGCGATGCACCCAAAAAGCACATTTGTACCTGGAACTCGGAGCAGTTGGAAATGTGAGGAGTTGTGTCCAATTTCCACCCCTGGCCTGGCTCATTTAGCTGAGATGTTCCCAGATACTGGTCCATCACTGCCCACCTCGGTGAACAGCTCCCATGATGTCCTAGAACTGTTTTTCTGCTTAATCTTGCAGTGCATCGTGCCAGAAAACTTGTTGGTATGTGAGAACGTGTTAAGGGTTTGTTTTGTTCTGTTGACCTGTTTACACTTAAAAAGATCGATAGTGAGATTTCAGCAGGCAGCTGGGGAGCAGCACAACAAACACAGCCTGCTTTCCTGTCCATGTGTGCTCTTTCTTCCAACCAAGGACCCCAACACCAACACCCAAATTCCACTGCATCCCCACGAGGCAGCTCGCCATCGCGCTGGCTGACCTCGAGCTGTCAAACTCGTTCCTTTCCACCTCTCTGCGAGTGCTCCTCTGCCAGGTAACACAATTTCTAGAAGCATAATTGTCTTTGAGCCATCTACCCTTCTTTCAAATGTGATTGAAATTGGCCAAACTGCTCAAAAACGGGGATGGTGGGGGAGAGACTGGCGAGGAGACAGATGGCAGACAGCTCAGCTCCTCCAGCCTAAATTGGGCTGATTGAGACGTGGGAATGCTTTCACCCTCTCA